TCTACAAAAACCAGTCCAAAGTAGACCGCGCCTCGGTTTTACACTCTTGGTACTTCGTCGACAACACACCTACTTTCGTAGGACCAAGTTTATTATTTACTTAAGTGTCTTCTATAGCGCTGACTATAGTTTGGTTTCTTGTTTTTTGTTGACCAGATGATCGTCAGAAAGAGTTGTATAATAATTATTACTGTATATAACGATTCTACTAATATAATTTAGATATATAAACTTACAATAAATAAATAAATAAATAAATTTATATATAAAATAATAAGAAATAAATAATAATAGAATAATAAAAAATAAAGTGTAAATCTAAAATGAGAGGTTTGCTGAGACAATATAATCATTATTATAATTATATGATAATTATAATATATCAGTATCATATAATTGTTGTCACTTCTAGAAATGTAATAAATAGTTATATCATAATAGATTAGTATCAAATTTTTATATTTTTTTAATTACTATAACAAAAGTTAGATCAGAGCTAAAATTTTAATAAATTATATTAATAAAATTAAAAATTAATTAATTGGTGATTTGTCAGTTTACCAGAAAGAGGACATAGTATAATGTGATACAGTTTATATAAAAATTAGCATTTTGTAAATATGAGCTGCTTCTATCTAAAACTTTTTTTATACTAAGTTAACTATCTTTGAGCTTCTAAATAAAGTTGTATAAGATGAATCTAATAGTAGTTGAATTATCAAAATTGGCTTAGTAAATCACAAGATATAGTCTGACTTTATTATAATCACTTTTGATATAGTCACAACCTTTTTATAATTACACTATTTTTTTTAACTAAGCTAATATAAAATATATAAATTTTGACCTTCATGTAGTCACAACTTTTTATAATTACTAAAATTTTGTTTCCAGTCTGGTGATTATATTGAGGCTAGACTATATCTTTAAAAAACATTTTACTAACTATATAAACTTCTCTTTCAATAATACTATTGTTGAAAAAGAAATTTATATAATTAGTGAAACATTTTTCAAAGATATCTTATCATCTACTAAGATAATTTTGATGCTTCACCCCTATTAGATTTGTCTTAATAAGCTCTATAACTTTAATTAAAAGCTTAAAGATAGTTAACTTAGTACAAAAAGTTTTAGATAAAAGCAACCCACATTTACAAAACTTTAATTTTTATATATAAATTGAATTATGTTATACTATAACTTCTTTTTGATTGACTAATAAATCACTAATTAATAAATAAACTATCTGTTATCTAAAGAGAATTTGCAAATATTCTATAGAATAGGTGGGCAAACTTCACAAACTTCGCAACTTCACTATTAAAAAATTAATAATTACTAATCATTAGTAAAGCTTATTTCTTATATTGCTCACCTATTCTATAAAATATCTGAATTGCAAATTTTTTATAAGTAAATTTTATTATTAAGCTAAATATGGAGTATTCTAATTTAAAATTGTTTTTTACTAAGTAAATTACTCTTGAAAGTTGTAAAGCTCATCAAGACACATCTAATAGTAGTAAGAACATTAAAATTAGCTTGGTAATTTTTGAGAAATCTTTAAAAAATGTTTTATCTATATATAAATTTCTTTTCATTATAAACCAAAGTATAATTTACTTAGTAAAAAAAAAGTTTTAGATTGAAGTGCTTCACATTTGGCTCAATAGTAAAATTTACTTATAAAAATTTACAGATCTCTAGATAACAGATGAATTGTTTATTAAACTTAATTAAAAATTAAAAAAAATATAAATTTAATTTAAAAATTAGAAAAAATTATTATATTAAAATGTTATTTAATAAAACAGTTATCAAGAAATTAATTTTTAAAATTATTTTAAAATTTTTAGTAAAAATTTTAAAATTATTATGTTTTTACTAAGTAAAATGCCTAGTTATATAGTACACATAATTTTCAAAAATAGTAAAATTACTTTAAAAATTAATTTTTCAACAACTATCTTATTAAATTAAATCAAATTTTTTGTCAATACTATAAAAATGCTTGAAGTCTAATTATATTAATTTTTAAAACTTTTAGATTTAATTCTAATTTTTTATAAATTTTTAATTAAATTCAATTAGTTTTTAATATCTAAAATAGCCAAAAATTTTAGCTCTCATCTAACTTTTGTTATAATAATTAAGAATGTATAAAAATTTGATACTAATCTATATTTTTTTAATACTATTTACTGTAAAAATTTCAAAATTGTAACATTTCTATTTAAAAAGTTAGAGGAGTGAGATACTTATGATTCCTACTGTATTTAGGATTTCTATATGCACCTTATAAGTAACCGGTATATAAAAAAATTATAAATCGTTAATATCTTTAAATACTACAATAATACATTTTTAAAGCCTAACTTTTAAACTCAATTTATTATAAATGAAAAAATTTATTCATCTATTGCGCAACTTACTTTTTAGAGAAAAATATTAAATTTATATTTAAAAATATATTGACTTAAACAATAATTTTTTAAATTATTAAGAAAGCAACATTATAAGTTATAATATTTGGGAAAATAGATTTACTAAGCCTCAAATTCACATGTTTATAAGAATTTTACTAAGTCTTTTAAGTTTTTACTTTATAAAAGTAGCTTTGCTAAATATAATCGTTTATTGATAATAAAATATAAATTTGTTCAATACCATATAATACGTATTACGCGACTTATGAAAATTATATAAAAAAATTCCTAAAAATATCGGCTTGCAATTTGACAAAAAATATCGATTTATATTAAAAAATATAAATAATTGTTAAAAAGGCTCGGATAAACTAACTTATTCTATCATTCTTTATTCATCAATTTCTCTCTTAATAATTTTCTTTGGATTTTACCACCATCACATCTTGGAATTTTATCAATAAACAATATACCACCTCTTAATTGTTTATGTGGCGCGACCTTGTCATCTACAAAAGATTGAATTTCCTTTGCTAAAGCTTGGGATTGCTCATGCACATTTTTAATTGTCACATATGCTATAGGAATTTCAGTTGCCTCTTCTTCAGAATAATATCCTACTACTACTGCATCTGATACAGCATCATGTGTGAGGAGAATCGATTCCAGTTCAGAAGGTGGCACGTAAAAATCCTGAAAATTTTAATTTTTAGTGTTGGTCAAATATAACAACATAATAATACTATAAACGTACTTTGTATCTTATTAACTCTTTTTTTCGGTCAACAAGAAAGTAGTTTCCTTTATTAAAAAAATAAGCAATTATAATTATATTAACACATAAATATTAATTTTATTCAACAATGAAATATACCTTGTTCATCAACATATGCAATATCTCCTGTGTTAAAAAATCCATCTTTATCAAAGACAGCATCTGTAGCTTCTTTATTATTAAAATATCCCTATTTAAAAATATAAGACTTTTAGCACAATCAGTATAATTATATTAGTATAATAATCATACGACGTACCTTCATGATATTTGGACCGTGAACCCACAATTCTCCCGATTCATTGTATCCTAATTCTAAATATAAAATGATAAATTTATTTGGATTTGAAATTATAGAATTAGGAATAATATATATATATATATATAAAGTTAGTTACCACGACCATCTTCTGATAATATTTTAGTTTCCATATTTGGAAGAAGAGTTCCTATAAAGCCTATTAATAATATATATTTCTTTAGTAAATCATGAAGTATATACTGTTACTGTTATACAGTAAGTATACCATTTAATGACATAATACCTGGAGCTGCATTTCTCGATGTATCAGGATAATGTAATGCTACACACGTTTCACTAAGACCTTTATTATTCCACAAAAATAATAGATGATTGATTCATCATAGTGAAAGTAATATTTATATTAAGACCGTTCATAATGATGATCAAGCTAGTCCAAACGACCTATTTCTTACCATAACATTGCAAAATTGGTATTTTAAACAAATTATAAAATTTTTTTTTCCACTCATCTCTTAACGGAGCTCCCGCATTTATAATCGTATTCATACTTGATAAATCAAATTGTTGAACTAATGGATTATTGACAAGTTCAAGTATAATTGGCGGTGCAGCATAAATATGATTAATTTTAAATTTTTGAACAAATTCACAAAACTTTTCCACGTCGATACTTGAATGAATGATTGTAGTAGCACCCTATATTATTAACGCATAACTCTTAAATCAAACTCGACGATGCAATAATAAAACAATATAAAAATAGAATAACAAACACAAATTAAGGTCGCATGAATAATATGAGTAATCGCATAGCCATAACAAAGTTTCTACATTTTTAAAGCAATAATAAAAAATTACTTTAAGTTATTATCAAAGACTCAAAAACACCTTAAAAAGAATTCATTTATGTAATTTACTGTGGTTCCCATAGTTATACTGTGTGGTCCAATTTTACCATCTGCAATAATTAATTGAGTCAAATTAGCGACTACGTTTGCATGAGTACGTTCGATGCATTTTGGCTTTCCAGTTGTTCCAGAACTGTAAAGTAAATAAGCAGTCGTTGATTTTGCTTCTTCAGGAGAATAATAAATCGGTTCAATTTCATGATTATCGATTAAAATAGAGCGGTAAGGTCTATATTCTTTTATTTCCTTATCGCCAAATAACAATACCCTAGAGGTAGGAATTTTTGCATCGATTAAAGCTTCAATAGCGACTTCAAGACATTTTGGATGCACGATCAGAACTGATGCTCCCGAATCGTTTAATTGATAAGATAATTCAGTTGCAGTATTCTTTGGATTAGTTGTCATTACTTTGCCTCCTATAAATGCATAAATATAATTTGGAATTGAAAAACAATAATGATATTATCGTTATTAATTGATATGAACATATGGGCGGATTTGCGTCATTACTACTAAAAATGGTAAAATATTTGACAGCGAATAACGGCTCAAACATAGTTTGATGTGGTCGGATTTGTATTACCGGGTTTTTTATTAAATTTGGTAAAATTGATTTTCAAATTATTTAGTTACATTAGTACATAGTTTGGGTACATTGTGACTAAATCTTCTATTGTTGCTTGACAAACGTATTTAGAGTTTGTTAGTGATCGTATTTTGATTACGCCGAATATTTGGTTATCAGAATTTTCGTCTTGTACGATTCTAAATCTGAATGTTTGAAATTTTATTCTGTCGTATGCTAGAGGCGTATTAAATAATTGTATTAATGTTGGTATTGATCCTAATGCTGCGGCTATTGAAGGTTGTTGTAATTTATCGAATATTATAGTGTATCTTCTTTTTGAATAATTTCTGATTTTTTGTTCTATTCTGTGTTTAGTATTTTTTAGTTTGATAATTTCTTTTTCGAGTTCCTTTTTGTAGTTTTTCAATTGGTAAATATCTTGAGGAGTTATTGTTTCATATTGTCTATGTATTAAGGTTTCTGCTTCTTTGTATGTAAATTTTGGTAAGTTGAGTTCTTCAAATTGAGATTCGTCTTCAGAATCTAGTTCTTTTTCTTTATCATGCTTTAATCG